AGACTGATGGGGAGGAGCCGGGGCGCCCGTGCCAGACTGATGGGGAGGAGCCGGGGCCCCGTGCCAGACTGATGGGGAGGAGCCGGGGCGCCCGTGCCAGACTGATGGGGAGCCGGGGCGCCCGTGCCAGACTGATGGGAGGAGCCGGGGCGCCCGTGCCAGACTGATGGGGAGGAGCCGGGGCGCCCGTGCCAGACTGATGGGGAGGAGCCGGGGCGCCCGTGCCAGGGGAGGAGCCGGGGCGCCCGTGCCAGCTGATGGGGAGGAGCCGGGGCCCGTGCCAGACTGATGGGGAGGAGCCGGGGCCCCCCGTGCCAGACTGATGGGGAGGAGCCGGGGCGCCCGTGCCAGACTGATGGGGAGGAGCCGGGGCGCCCGTGCCAGACTGATGGGGAGGAGCCGGGGCGCCCGTGCCAGACTGATGGGGAGGAGCCGGGGCGCCCGTGCCAGACTGATGGGGAGGAGCCGGGGCGCCCGTGCCAGACTGATGGGGAGGAGCCGGGGCGCCCGTGCCAGACTGATGGGGAGGAGCCGGGGCGCCCGTGCCAGACTGATGGGGAGGAGCCGGGGCGCCCGTGCCAGACTGATGGGGAGGAGCCGGGGCGCCCGTGCCAGACTGATGGGGAGGAGCCGGGGCCCCGTGCCAGACTGATGGGGAGGAGCCGGGGCGCCCGTGCCAGACTGATGGGGAGGAGCCGGGGCCCGTGCCAGACTGATGGGGAGGAGCCGGGGCGAACGTGCCAGACTGATGGGGAGGAGCGCGGGGCGAACGTGCCAGACTGATGGGGAGGAGCCGGTAAAACCCCCCCCCCCACACCTGTGTAGGTCTAGGGGGCAGGAAGAGCATTTTCACCAAATCTGCTCCCCCGCAGACAGCGCTCCCCTATGCTCTTTAGGGGAACTGTTCCTCTACATCCAATGCAAGGCTATGGGCTCTGCACTGCTCAAGGACATCGGGGTCCAACTGACTGCCAGAGCATAGGGGAAAAAGCGGATGTGGGGGCCGGCCATGCTGTGCAGAGGAGCCCGCGGGAGCGGAGGATCAGGTAAGCAAAATTGCCTTCTGCAGCCCCCTAGAGCACCTAACCCCCCCTGCAGGGGCGGTCCCACTTTTCCCGGAGTTCAGCTGTAAAGTACAACTAGTGCAAATTGTTTTCCCATTTTTCATAGAGTAAGGGAGGGTTAGAGCCCCCGCCGGTATTTTTGCTGCCATCTGGAGAGATTTCCCTTCATTTCCTGTCCCAGAGCCAAAACAGGAAGTGAGAGGAAATCCCAGAATTAGTGTCCCCATTGGAAGATTTCCCCTCTATTACGAGGCGGTATCAAAACGTTTTGACTGGTGACACGCCACCAGATGGCAGCACAAGGCTGCACGCACGGTCACCGGGAGCACCGACCTTCATAAGTCAGTGTGTCAAAACACATCGTCCTGTGTACATCGGGAGCTGTGCAGCTGGTGCTGTTCTGACCACGTGAGTCACCACGGGCAGCGAGTTGGAGCAAAGAGCGAGCGTGAAATTCTGCATTGGGGAACATGGGATATGACTTTGGACCTGCTCCTAGACACTGAAGCTCACAAAACGCTAAACGCCTAAAAGCAGTGTGCATAGACACATAGGAGAACACTATTTAGCTTCGAGGAGCCGGAAAAAAAAAATGCTGAAAACCGCTTCTAGGAGCTTTAAAAAAAAAAAAATTAAAAATACCCATGCGTTTTCCGCAGCGTGTTGTACGAACGCACTGCAGTCCATTTAACATGATTTCCTATGGGACGGGTTCACATCTGTGTGTCTTCACCCCAGGACATTTTTTGGCAAGCGGTCAGGGACTTCTTTGAACGCAAAAAAGTTGCGTTTTTGGTTCTATAGATTTTGCTGCGTTTTGAGTTTTAAATCTGCCTAGCAACAAGAAAAAAAAAAAAAAAAACACGCAGATCAAAAACGCAAGTGCAGAAACTGGTCAAACAAAACCTGCGTAGGTGTGGACCAAGCCTTAGGTGTGTTTAGGTGCTTGCATTTCATTGGCCAGAAAAAAATCAAATTTATTCCGACCAATGAAATGAATTAACGCCTAAAAAATGCAGATAATTTATTCTGACCTTTAGCCCGGGTTCACACTGACGCAGTGCGGAATTTGCAGCGTTTTCTATGTGAATTCTGCATCAGAATGGCCCCCCGGTTCATGTCAACCGCTGCGGGTGTGTATATTGAGTGGACATCACCCTGAAAGCAATCCGCAAAACGCAGTTCAGAATCAGATCAAATAGGTGTGAGTACCCGTGCCATCCGATTCTAAGGCCGACCACAAAATGGTCCAAAATGTACGACTCCGATCGCACCGCGCACAAATCGCATGAGATCGGAGGAAATGCGGTGCGGTTCCTGGGCAAATCACATGTGTGCGTTTTCACCCGGTGCGTTCTTTGGAAAGGGTCGGGGACTTTTTTGAACGCAAAACGTTGCCTTTTTGGTTTTATAAACTTCAATGGGAACGCTGCAGGAAAGCATGTAGTGCGTCTTTGATGCATTTTAAATCTGCCTAGCAACAAAGTACAAAGAAAAAAAAAAAAAAAGTAAAACAAAAAAACACAACTGCAAAATGTGACGCAAAACGCATCAAATGCAACCTGCATAGGTGTGAACCTGGAGTTATTTTCACCCAGTGATCCCGCCAGTAGCATACTTCCTGTCCTGTCAATGCCTGCACTGTCTATGGAGAGCTGCGTTGTCACCCCAGGACAGGAAACCTGTTAGGACTACAAACCCCTCCCCCCCATATAAAACCACGTAAAAGAAAAGGACGATCGCGGGATATGACAGAATTCTGAACTTGTGTACCTACCCCACATCTCGATCCAGCATTGTGCCCGGGTGGAAGGGGGAAAGGCGTTGCCGTTCGGGGGCTCCTTTGGCGAGTACAGCTTGAACGACTTGGAGGAACAGCCTGTCGAGAGAAGAAAGGAACAGCCGGCGTTAGCGGTGACAACGGGGCAGACACAAAGAGGCAACATTTTCACAGTTAGTCAAGCCTGCTTAAAGGGCAACTCCACTTCTATTTCCTGTTCAGGGCCGGCGTACACATTAACCGCTCGCTGGGCAATTTTTAACATTTTTGCGCACATAAAAACCTGCATTTTTACTAAAAAAAAAAAAAATAAAACACAAAACAAAACAACTGTAACCTCCCAAAAAAAGTTGATATTTTCTGACCCTGGAGAATAAAAATGGTGGCTTTTGCAATTTTTTATGTTGCGCTGTTTGTTATCAAAGACGTATTTTTAGGGGAAAAAAAAAAAAAAAAAAAAAAAAAAAAACACGCTAAAATGACTCTTTAGCACAAAACATAAATACCCAATTTTTAGCAGAATAAAATATTGGATTTACGTCAAGTCGATGGATACCGAACGTGTCAAATCCTAAAACCGCACGTGGCTCCAAAATAAGATGGAAGCAACATTCTCCATAGGACACACTTAAAGGATAACCCCCCCCGGTCACACCGGGTGCAACTTGCTATGAGAGTTGCAAAAAAAAAAAAAAAAAAAAAAAAAAAGAAGAAGAAGGTCGCATGGCAAGTCACCCCCATATTGTCCTCCATTACAGCGGTCATACCGGCGCAGTTCTGACTTGGTCGGAGCCGCACTGATTTCTAAAGTAGGCAGACGCAAGTCGCACCTCAAGTCAGATCGCTGTGACCGGGACCTTAACTGTGAATTATTGAGCTCACTTTGATGTTCGCGGCGATACCTCACCCATGGCGCCACTGAGGTTCACCCACGCAGGATTGTCCTGTGCTGCACTTTTTATACGGCGTGCGTACAAGAGCGCTCTAAAACGTTAAAAAAAATTTCTATTTTTTTTTTTACAATTTTTTGAACTTTATTGCTATTACAAGGATGCCGACAAACCCTCTAGCTGTCAAACTGACGGCCCTCCAGCTGTTGAGGAACTACAACTCCCATCATGCCTCTGCCTTTGGGAGTCATGCTTGTAACTGTAAATCTTGCAATGCCTCATGGGACTTGTAGTTTGGCAACAGCTGGAGGGCTGCCAGTTTGACACCCCTACCACAGAGAATAGGTGTCAAACTGTGGCCTCCAGCTGTTGTGGAACTACAAGTCCCATGAGGCATTGCACGGCTGGCAGTTACAAGCATGACTCCCAAAGGCAGAGGCATGATGGGAGTTGTAGTTCACCAACAGCTGGAGGGCCGCAGTTTTGCCAGCTATGCTCTGTGGCAGGGGTGTCAAACTGGTGCCGGACCCCTTTATCCAGCAACTGGTTTGCGAATTCTGGTTAAGCGCACTGCGTTTTGCGATCCGTTTCGAGGCGTCGTTCACTGAACATCGACACCCGTACCAGGTCACACGGACGCCATGCGATTGCAATGCGGTGCAGAAAAACCACCCAGGATTCGCGTCGTTTCCCGCACCGCATTGGTGTGAACCCGGAGAAGAGTTGCAAATTGAAATGAAGAAATAAAGGATTTGGTAACATTATTATTTATATACACAAAAGGTGGAGTTTTTCTTGACAAAGCGGATCCGCGGCGGTGGCGGTTTTTACATTCGTTTGGAAATTTGCTGACCGATGTTAGAAAACGTGAAATAGATGGAAGGTGCGATCTGTATGAATATTCATGAGGACGTCATCATGCAAAGTCCACTTCCTGGCCTCTAACACGCATTGCTGCTTACTCAGGACCGCCGCGCCGAGAACCGTCATGGCTGCGAACAAAAATGAGCTGCGGCCGAGTAAAAGGCGAGATCAATCACCACAGACATCTGAACGATCGTACGAGAAGGAGCGGCGCCAACGCCACATACATAATACATTGCCGTCCCATTCTTACAAAAAAAAAAACAAAAACGTATGAGGTAAGGCGGGGAGGTAAAAGCGGAAGGCGGGGAGGTAAAAAAGCGGAAGGCGGGGAGGTAAAAGCGGAAGGCGGGGAGGTAAAAGCGGAAGGCGGGGAGGTAAAAGCGGAAGGCGATGACGGGGAGGTAAAGCGGAAGGCGATGAGTCGATCTTATTTCAGTTTTTCCATTAAAAGAACGAATATTCCAGAATTCTCCATCAAATGGGCGGAGCAATTGTAGCGACCCCAATCGAAGGAAGTGGAATATTTCATCGCAGGGCTCAGCCAGGTTCCTTTTTCAGGTCGCTTTTCATCAATTGCCGCCCCCCGCCAAGCTGTCCAGATATCTCTCATTCCATAAAATCGATCAGTTTTTCATTCGTTTGAATGTTGCATTGTTCAACTCCCTAAATCCCTCTACCTCCCGGTCATCATATAGAAGACTAGAGACCCATTCACACTAATGGCTGCACTAGTACAATCGGGGGGGGGTCGGCGTGCCGATTGCAGCACATTGCATGATTTAATTTTTTAAAACTTTATTGGACCTTCAAGTCTTCCATCACACTGGTGTGCCTGGTCATGTGACTTTGGACACAAGTAGCAGCCCATGCTTTCCGATGACCACTGTTCATAGGTTCCTGCGTTTCTGTGGTTGGACTTTCATGCGACGTGAGTGCTGCAGCCTGCAATGTAAACTGTCAAAAACTGCATGAAAGTTGCATCTCAATGTTATCTGTGCGACAACCAAAGTCGCAATGTAAAGTCGCCATGGAAATCGCACCACTTTGGAGTCGCACAAGTGGGGATGGAGCCCAAGGGCATTTCTGGTCAATATATGAACTCTTTATCCTCATTGGATACATTGTATTCCAGTTACTTCCAGCCCCCTCCTATTACTCTGATGACCCCACACATCTACAGTCAGGTCCATAAATATTGGGACATGGACACCATTCTAACATTTTTGGCTCTATACACCACAATGGATTTGAAATGAAAGGAACAAGATGTGCTTTAACTGCAGACTGTCAGCTTTAATTTGAGGGTATTTACATCCAAATCAGGTGAACGGTGTACACTGCAGGAGGAGACAGAAATCTTTGATGCTCATCCCTACAGCAGGAGACAGGGCCGGGTGACCCCTCCCCCCACAAAGTGACCCCCGCCCTTTGTTCCCTGGCAGGGTGACATGTGGGGACAGCAGTCCTTCTGCCTCTTTTGTCTCCTCCCGGTCTATAGAGAATTCCAGTGTTTGCCCCGCGAGGCAGAATCCACCGTCACCGCGCCGGACTGAAGTGCGAGCCGCGGGCCCTTCTGTCGGGTTATATGGCGACTTCTGTCTGTCTAAACCTAAAAGGGCAACATGGGGACACCCCCGGACCGCTCATCCGTCTAACAGCGGGGCGAGGATACATGACAACATCTGCCATTCAGCTTGGCCATCGGTGTCACCGCCGACCGACAACAAGGGACTACTCTTAGAACCTGAAGCAACAAAGTCCATACCAAGAGCAGGACAGAACACCCTCCCCACCCCCAAAGCCATGACCCCACCCCCTCCAGCCCCCTTCTCCAATCACAGCCACTCACCTTCCGCTATTTAGACTCAAGCCCCTCCCCCACCACTCACCTCCCACTATTTAGAGTCTCTTGCAAAAACTCCGGGTCAAACATTGTTATGCGCAACAAATCTCGAGCAACATTCCTATATCATTTGTTCCATCTAGTGGCCAAAACGCGGTATAGTTCTCAAAAATGCCCTCACTGAGGAGATATACTGCCTTATGGCCACTAGCCGGCGCCGATGAGCTTAGAAATTAATCCAATCTAAGAATTTGCTGAGCGTGTGACATTCGGTCAACATGATCCATATAAATATATATATAACACACACATATACACACACACATACATATACATATATATATACACACACACACATATACATATACATATATATACACACACACACACACATATATATATATATACACACACACACACATATACAGTCATGGCCGAAATTGTTGGCACCCTTGATATTTCTCCAGGAAATCATGTATTTCTCACGAAACGTATTGCATTAACACATGTTTTGCTATACACATGTTTATTCCCTTTGTGTGTATTGGGACAAAACAAAAAAAGGGAGGAAAGAAAGCAAATTCGACATAATGTCACACAAACCTCCAAAAATGGGCTGGACAAAAGTATTGGCACCCTTTCACAACTGCGGATAAATAAGAATGTTACAAGCATGTGATGCTCCTGTAAACTCACCTGGGGCAAGTAACAGGTGTGGGCAATATAGAAATCACACCTGAAAGCAGATAAAAAGGAGAGACGTTCACTTAACCTTTGCATTGTGTGTCTGTCTGTGCCACACTAAGCATGGACAACAGAAAGAGGAGACGAGAAACTGTCTGAGGACCTGAGAACCAAAATTGTGGCAAAATATCAACAATCTCAAGGTTACAAGTCCATCTCCAGAGAACTAGATTTGCCTTTGTCCACAGTGCGCAACATTATCAAGAAGTTTGCAACCCATGGCACTGTAGCTAATCTCCCTGGTCGTGGACGGATGAGGAAAAATTGATGAAAGATTGCAACGCAGAATAGTCCGGATGGTGGATAAGCAGCCCCAAACATGTTCCAAAGACATTCAAGCTGTCCTGCAGGCTCAGGGAGCATCAGTGTCAGCGCGAACTATCCGTCGACATTTAAATGAAATGAAACGCTATGGCAGGAGACCCAGGAGGACCCCACTGCTGACACAGAGACATAAAAAAGCAAGACTACAGTTTGCCAAAATGTACTTGAGTAAGCCAAAAGCCTTCTGGGAAAACGTCTTGTGGACAGATGAGACCAAGATAGAGCTTTTCGGTAAAGCACATCATTCTACTGTTTACCGAAAACGGAATGAGGCCTACAAAGAACAAAACACAGTACCTACGGTAAAAATATGGTGGAGGTTCAATGATGTTTTGGGGTTGTTTTGCTGCCTCTGGCACTGGGTGCCTTGACTGTGTGCAAGGCATCATGAAATCTGAGGATTACCAAAGGATTTTGGGGTCGCACTGTAGGGCCCAGTGTCAGAAAGCTGGGTTTGCGTCCAAGATCCTGGGTCTTCCAGCAGGACAATGACCCCAAACATACGTCAAAAAGCACTCAGAAATGGATGGCAAAGAAGCGCTGGAGAGTTCTGAAGTGGCCAGCAATGAGCCCAGATCTAAATCCCATTGAACACCTGTGGAGAGATCTTAAAATTGCTGTTGGGAAAAGGTGTCCTTCCAATAAGAGAGACCTGGAGCTGTTTGCAAAGGAAGAGTGGTCCAAAATTCCGGGTGAGAGGTGTCAGAAGCTTATTGATGGTTATAGGAAGCGACTGATTTCAGTTATGTTTTCCAAAGGGTGTGCAACCAAATATTAAGTTAAGGGTGCCAATACTTTTGTCCAGCCCATTTTTGGGGTTTTGTGTGACATTATGTCATATTTGCTTTTCTGCCTCTGTTTTATATTTGTTCCAATACATACAAAGGGAATAAACATGTGTATAGCAAAACATGTGTTAATGCAATACCTTTTTTGTGTGAAATACTTGATTTTCAGGAAAAATATCAAGGGTGCCAACAATTTCGGCCATGACTGTATATATATACACACACACACACACACATATATATATACACACACACACATATATATATACACACACACACATATATATATATATATATACACACACACATATACACACACATACATATACACACACATATAACACACACACACACACACATATATACACACACACATATATATACACACACACACATATACACACACACACACGTGTACCGAGTATATTGCCACATATAGAACAACATTTCAATGGCAAAAATCCCATCAATGTATTGTTAATGCTTTTTTTTGTGTGATTCTGGAGGCACACGGAGGGATCCGGATTCCTCATTACATAAGCAGACTTTGCTTCCTGCTGACACCACAGATCAGGTCTGTCTGATCGAAAAACAACAGAATGTCTGTGGTCTTCAATATGTCAAACACCCACAATGCACCTGGCAGCCAAAAGACCGTATGATCATCGCCTGGGACACGATGGCGCTCAGAGCCACGACAACAGAAATCACTTCTTTATTCAAACGGGTTTTTGTTTTACTGAAAAGTAATTTTTTTTTAACCATTTCCGCACTGCCCTATAGTAGAAATACTGCCGCAGGGGGGAAGGGGAGCGCAAAATCACAGAGGGGGAGGGGGGAACACTATAATATAGATACACACAAATATATACACAAAGTATTTTTCTACTAAAAAAATATCTTTTTATTACTTAAAACTATAAACATTTTCACTAAAAAGTACCGTATTTTGCGCTCCATAAGACGCACCCAGGTTTTAGAGGCGAAAACAAGAAAAAAAATATTCTGAACCAATGGACTGCAGACAGTACAGGAGATGACCAGAGACTGCAGACACAGTACAGGAGATGACCAGAGACTGCAGACACAGTACAGGAGATGACCAGAGACTGCAGACATAGTACAGGAGATGACCAGAGACTGCTGCAGACAGTACAGGTGATGACCAGAGACTGCAGACATAGTACAGGAGATGGACCAGAGACTGCAAGAACAGTACAGGAGATGACCAGAGAAAAAAGAAGCGGAACACAGTACAGGAAAATGACCTAGAGACTGCGGACACAGTACAGGAGATGACCAGAGACTGCAGACACAGTACAGGAGATGACCAGAGACTGCGACACAGTACAGGAGATGACCAGAGACTGCAGACACAGTACAGGAGATGACCAGAGACTGCGGACACAGTACAGGAGATGACCAGAGACTGCAGACATAGTACAAATGAGATGACCAGAGACTGCAGACACAGTACAGGAGATGACAAGAGACTGCAGACACAGTACAGGAGATGACCAGAGACTGCGGACACAGTACAGGAGGATGACCAGAGACTGCAGACACAGTACAGGAGATGACCAGAGACTGCGGACACAGTACAGGAGATGACCAGAGACTGCGGACACTGTACAGGAGATGACCAGAGACTGCGGACATAGTACAGGAGATGACCAGAGACTGCGGACACAGTGTACAGGAGATGACCAGAGACTGCGGACACAGTACAGGAGATACCAGAGACTGCGAGACACAGTACTACAGAGGAGATGACCAGAGACTGCAGACACAGTACAGGGAGATGACCAGAGACTGCAGGACATAAAAGTACAGGGAAGAATGACCAGAGACTGCAGACACAGTACAGGAGATGGACCAGAGACTGCGGACACAGTACAGGTGATGACCAGAGAAAAAAAGGACATGCAGTACAGGGAGAACCAGAACTGCGGACCTTTGGGGAGGGAAAAGCAAAAACAAAACAGGTACCTGCTCCCACATACCGCGGAGTTGTCCTCCCTTTAGTGTGGGGTCTCTGCTGTGACACAGCCGGGTCCCCATGACGCATGCGTGAGAAGCGCTGCACTTGTATGTGATTGGTTCCGGTGTCTTCTGGAACCTGTTATGTGTTCCCAGAAGATGGCGGACCATTCACAAAGCGCAGCGCTTCTCACGCATGCGCAGTGGGGGACCCGGCTGTCACAGCATAAGATCCCCACACTAAAGAAGCCTGGCGCACAGAAAAGACTGCACAGCGCTGAAACCGAGAGAGCAGGTTTTGCTGTAAGTAAGAAGATGACTGAGCGGCCGGCCCGGTGTTTCTGACACGGTGGCGGGAAAAAAAATACCGGAACACGGCCATTCCATATTCAACTCCATAAGACGCACTGACATTTTCCCCCATTTTTTTTGTTGTAAAAAAAAGTGGGGGGGGGGGGGACTAAGTGCATCATAAGGATTGGAGCGCAAACATAAAACTGGTATCAAATTTTTTTTTTTTACCTCAAAAGGATCATTTTTTTTTTCAAATTTAAAAAACAAAAACGTAACATTATATATTTTATATTTTTACCATAAACAAACAAATAAGATTTATTTAGATTTGTAAACACTAAAATTAAGAAATCTTTTTACTAAAATGTATAATATAATTTTTTTTCCTAAAGCGATCATTTCATTAGGTAATGCCGACCATTTCCAACTGATTAATGAAAAGTAAAAATTTTAAAGTAAAATAAAAAAAACCAAAAAAAAAAAAAAAGCACCAAGACAAAACAGCATCTATTATAAAGCTGCATATATATGTCCCACCTTACAGGCATCCTCCAAACAATAGGGACAGTCAAACCACCCATCCCCCACTAGAGTCATGGTAAGTGTATTCACCCCACCTGATAAGGTGTGACTACAGGGGGGAAAGAAAAAAATGGCTGATTTCATGCAACAAAATCTTATCAAACGCTCCACCCCCCTCAAAGTGTCGTCCCACCCCCTCCCCCAGTCTAAAGCAGCCATGGCAGGAATAAAAATAAAAAAAAGTTAATGTGAAGATTGTTTGGATACCAAGTGTGTAAAATATATATATATACAAACACACATATAAATATATACACATAAATGCTGTAAAAAAAAAAAATAAAAAAAATCACTAACCGGATCAATCAAAACTGTTTTTGGTGGAAATGAATATCTCTACAAAAAAACAGATAATTTTCCTAGAGGTGCAGTAGATAGTCAAAGAAAATAACCAACAGACCCAACAGTCATGACATGCATGCTGCTGATTCTGTGTCATTGAAATCACTCATTGAAAGGGGCGTGTTTCAACAATAATAGCAGTGTGGAGTTCTATTAGTGACGTCATTCATTCTTTCTTTGATAAACAGGTGGCAATTATTGCCCTTATTTAAGGAAGGAAGGCAGCAAAATGTTGGACATGCTGGTTACAGTGCATTTCTCTCTGAAATTCTGAGGAAAAAACTGGGTCGTTCCAGACATTGTTCAGAAAGTAAACAGCGTTTTTACCGCGAATTAAAAAGTTGATTGGAGAGGGGAAAATATATAAAGAAGTGCAGAAAATGAAAATCGAAGACGGCTGCTCAGCTAAAATGATGCAAATGCTTTAAAATGGCAACCAAAACCTGAAAGACGCGGAAGAAAGCGAAAAACTACCATTGGAATGGATAGAAAAAAGCCAAATGGGGGGGCGGACTCAGTCAACAAACAGCCCCAGGAAGATGAAAGAAGGTTGTGACGTTCCCTGTGAGGACTGTTACAATTAGAAGACGCCGATGTTGAAGCCAAGCTATCTGCAAGAAGTCCCCGCAAAGTCCCAACTGTTGGGAAAAAGACGTGCTGAAGAGGTTAACAATCTGCCTTAGAAGCACATTGACCGGCCTAAAGAGAAAAAATGGGGCAACATTTTGTGGACTGAATGAAAGTAAGATTGTTCTTTTTGGGTCTAATGGGCTTTGGAGACAGTTTGTCAGACGACCCCCAAAACACTGCAATTCAAGCCACAGTACACGGTGAAGACCGTGAAGCATGGTGGTGCAAGCATCATGAGTATGGGGATGTTTCTCATACTAACGGTGTTGGGCCTATTTTATCGCATACCAGGGATCATGGAATCAGGTTGAATACATTCAGAATACTTGAAGAGTCATGCTGCCTTATGCTGAAGAGGAAATGCCCTTGAAATGGGGGTTCCAACAAGACAAAGACCCCAAACACACCATTAAACGTCCAACATCTTGGTTTCCAGACCAACAAGATGGACGTTATGGAGTGACCAGCAGGGCCCAATCCCCGGATCTTCATCCAATAGAAAACTTGTGGGGTGACATCAAAAATGCCGTTTCTGAGGCCAAACCAAGAAATCGAGAAAACTGTGGAATGTGGTCCAATCATCTCCTGGCTGGAATACCTGATCACAGGGGCCAAAGTTGGGGGGACTCCATGCAACACAGATGTACAGCAGTTCTCAAAGAAACAGTGCGACTACAACCAAATATTCATGAAGTCATTCAAAGGAAAGCAAAAATCTTCAAACATTTTCTCAGTTTATATAGTGAATGTTGGAGTTTGTAAAGAAGAATACAAACAAATGAATTTTTTTGAACCGTCTAATATTCACTTTTCTTCCATTTTTTTTTAGAGGAACAACACAAATTTGATGTATTTTTCTTCATGTTGTGATTTGGAATAGAATGTGTCGTGTTTTCCCAATGCATTTGTGTGGATGGAGATAAAAGGATTAGAAGGATTTTCAGCTTTAGTCACTTTTTTCATCACACTGCTATTATTTTTGAACAAAACTATCTATCTATCTATCTATATATTTATTTATCCCCCCCCCCCCCACCCATGCTGCAAAAAAATTATACATTAATTTTTTTGCAGTTTGGGGAGGGATAATTAATTTAAAAAAATTTATATATATATATTAGTATATAATATATATATATATATATAAATATATAATATATATAAATATATATATATATGTAATTATCCCTCTCCAAACTGGGAAAGAAAAAAAATATTAAAGATTATATATATATATAATCCCTCCCCAAACTGCAAAAAAAAAAAAAAAAATTATATATATAGTTATTATTTTTTTTTTTTTTTTTTTCCTGGAAAAAAAAAATATGCAGACTGAGTACTGTCTGTGATACTTTTATTTGCAATAACATCCAAATTTTCAGGACAAGCTTCCTCACAGTAGGTATCGGTATTGCTTGGACCTTGAAGAAGGGGGTCGGTACACCCCGAAAGCTTGTCCTGAAAATATGGGATGTTCGTGCAAATTAAAAAGAAATAAATATCAAGAACAGTTTGTTTTGTTTTTTTTTGAACAATGCATAACTGGATGAAAGCCGATGGTATACAATATGTTCACCACGAATGATGTCACCACTTGCAGGTATACAGAGAGGTGACCCATGGCAGGAGGGGGGCTGTCATGCTCTTCCAGGGGAGCTGGGAGGCTAGAATACACAAGGCCAGGCCTAGGAAGACATTATCCAGGCTTCCCCCTCCCCCCTCTCCCTGGGGACGGTGCATCTCATTTGGTTGCTGTTGCCTTTCTGGGTACGGGTGTCCCATTTCCTCCATGCTGCAGGAAGGCTTTTAGAACCAAAACAATCGGAGAGCATTCTGCACAATGAATCAACACAACATGGAGGAGGAGGAAGGAGCTCCCGGCCTGGGAACCCCTTCCACACCCAACCTCAGATTAGACAAAGTGATCAGAAATCGCAAGAATACATAAAATAACCCCAAATATAAAAGAAGAATAGAATTCATCTCCCGTAGGAATCCTCCGGCTCTCCGCAGAGATGATCTTCTGAGCGCCCCCCCCCCCAGGTAGAAGAGCCCCATTGCCCCCATCCTTCCACATCCCAGATATATGGAAACAATAAAATGGGTTTCATTTTGGGGTTTTACCGGCTGAGAACAAAATTCAGTGGAGAAATATGATGCAAATGATGCAAACTTTGGTCCCTAAACAGCAAGGCAATAGTAAAACCTCGACCTCAAACGGCAGAACACGAGCAACGACACGAGCAAAAGCGCTTTGGAGGAGGTAGGGGGGCGAGAGAGGGGAGAGAGAGAGAGGGGGGGGCCGAGGAGAGAGAGAGAGAGGGGGGGGCGAGAGAGGAGAGAGAGAGGAGAGGGGGGAAGCGGAGAGGGAGGGGGGGGGGGGGGGCGAGGGGAGAGAGAGGGGGGGGAGCGGGGAGAGGGGGGGGGCGAGAGAGAGAGGGGGAGGGGCGAGAGAGGAGGAGTGGGGGAGAGAGAGTGGGGGCGAGAGGGAGGGCGGGGGGGGCGAGAGAGAGGAGGAGGGCGAGGGCAGAGAGAGAGGGCGGGGAGGAGGGGGGGGGGCGAGAGAGAGAGGAGGGGGCGAGGGGGAGAGGGGAGGCGATAGAGAGAGGGGGGGAGAGATCGGGGGAGAAAGGGGGGGGAGAGGGGAGGGGGGAAGAGAGAGAGGGGGGGGAGGAGAGGGGGGTGCGGGGGGGAGGGGGGGCGGGGAGAGAGGGGGGGGGGAGAGAGAGGGGGGGGCGAGAGAGGAGAGAGGGGGGGCGAGAGAGAGAGAGGGGGGGGCGAGAGAGACAGAGAGAGGGGAAAGGAGAGAGAGGGGGGGGAGGGGGGTGAGAGAGAGGGGGGGAGAGGAAGAGATGGAGGGGGGGAGGAGGGA